GTTGCCATGTGTAATCAAAAGTATGATTTGCTCTCCAAAATATTTTTATGGCAAAAAGTAGGCCCTTTTATCATATATTTATTCTTCACGTTTGTGGTGAGCGAAAGTATTGTTAATTATTAGATTTAATTTGTTAATCATTTCAATAGCAAGCAGATACACGTCGTACAATCCGCCTTTTAAATTGGATCCTTTTAGGAATTTCGATGACAGATGCCTCCACAGGTTTAATTACCACAATATTTGATTTCCAGGATAGTATCGCCGACCTTCTCTCACATACATTAATCCAACCATTTAACGAAGTCGTTGCAGCGGATCAAAATTATTTATATACACAGTCAGGAGAATTAGCTTATCAGTCATTTGTTTTAATTAAAATTTGGACAATCTTATGTTTCAAACAACAATCATCATTATTGACTGCTCATTCGGGTCAACAAGATAAACCTAAAATCGTGGGAGCTCCAAGAGTACATCAAAAACTTACTGCATCTTTAGCTATGGCAGAGAGAAGATTTTGGAATTCTATCTGGCCTAGTATGAAAAAACAATTAACAGGAAGCGTTATTGAGAGAGACGTTCAAGTAAGCAAATATCAAAAGATGCCTATATTAATTAAGTCACTAATCTTGCCTTTTTTCCTTTTTTTTTTTTGAAAAAAAACTAGTCAAATGGTATAGCATATTGGGAGATGTTTATGGACCTAATAACATTTTTATGCTTATGTGGATCTGATATTATAATGTTGTATTCTCAAGAATGGTACATACTTTTGGATAACCTTGAAACTGAGGTAATTACTGCCTTTACTCTCGTTCACCTTCAAATGAAACTCTAACTTTATTACTATATAATTAATAAATCTTTTATATTTTCTTTTTATTAGCATGAATCACCTACCACGGCGCAATTTTACCAAAAAGTCAAACAAGTCAAAGCAATGTTTGATGATCCACCATTAATGATGCAGGAAGATACTTTATCGCAACAATTGTTCTTAGAAGTGAGAGAATCTATGAGGTTGTATTGTGAAATTAATACTGCTGGTAACGTAAGATTATTCGGTTATTATTAGGGTGAAAACTTGTAATTTTAAATTGTATAGAAGGGATTTAAACATAAAGCTTTGATTTATTTTCTATTTATTTTATTTGTATTAAATTTTGTAATATTAAACGTGTATTTTAAATTTTAATTTTTATGTTTATTCCTATAAATCTTGAGACTTAATGAAATCTTAAATTGTAATCCCTAATTTATACCATCATTACATGTAAATCTACTTAGTCTGGAAAACGTTAAAATAAACGATTTTTATACGTATTATTTGACAGTAACATTAAAAAATTGTCTTTATGGTCTTCAATATCAATACCTCTTTATTGGTAGCATTGGTGTTTCCTCTAATTTAAATTTTTTACTTTGTATTGGTTAAGGGTGTTCTCAAGCATCAATCAATTAATTAATTAAATAATGATCATGATGACACTCGAGATCTCAATCAGTGACGATACTTATAGAATTAAATGCTTGAGCATATTCTTTTTCTATTTTTCGTGATCTACGTTATACAACCTAAAATACCTTAAAAAATTTCTACTCAACCGGTTGCCGAAACTTTAACTTCGGCTGCATCAGCTTCTCCTTTTAATGATTTACCGATTTAAATCTTTGTTGCAGCGACAGAATCTATTTATGGAATTATTAGCGAAAGTTGTATTACAGCAATAAATAAATTGTTTTCTTGCGAATATTAATATTAATATTTAAACTTTATTGAACGAAAAATGAAATAGAAGTATTCATTACGGTTTGATTAAATGTTAAAAGACGGGTTGTATTTATTGTGTTCATAACAAGGTATAGATTAATTGTTTTAAAAGCTTCGAAAATTAAAATAAAGTGGCTATTTTTTCATATCGGTTAAAAATTTGTTGAGAATTCATTGTTTACTATGTTTGATATGTAAAAAAAATTAAAGTAATGCTTATCAATGGTAAATTTTTGAAGAAAAAGGATGGGTTGTATCCAGTGTTTAAAATTCAAATTTGATTTTATGTTCTCAAAAAAACATTTTTTGAATTCTTAATGTTCTCAAAAAATTTTTAATGTTCTCAGTATTAGAAAGTTAAAAATTTTTTAATATTAAAAAAATCAGTTAAATGTTCTCAAATAGAGAACATTTTTCAATAATTCATGTTCATAAAATTTGCTAAATGTTCTTAAAAAGCATGAGAACATCAAATTTTAAATACTGGTTGTATCTCGCTAATTTGTTGGTAACTCACTTCGACTATATATTTAGAGCTTTCCATTGTCTTAAGTCAATATCCAAAAATTGAATCAAAATTAGATTCAATGTTCGAGTCTAAATTGGGTTTAAAATATAATAACCGACCTTTAACTGACATTTAGTAAAAGTACAGTTTATCAATTAGAAAATTAGAATTATCCCAAATTAAACATCATAATAAATGTAATAAATATATTAAATACATTGTAATGTTTGTTTTAGTTAAGCCACAAAAAAAACCATAAAGAACTCATACACTCGAAACTGCAATAAGGAATGAAGCTAAATGTAAATAAAGAATTTTAATGACCTAAGAACCAAGATTAGCAAATGGTGGTATGATTGTTGAGATACATAAATTAGGAAGAATGTCATCTTCACTACCTACGATAACTCTGGTTGAAATAGGCAATTTAAATAGCATACGTGATCTCGAATTAGCGCCCATGGGCATCCCGAATTAACGTACAATAGAATTAGTGATTATACCTGGTTTTGGTACAAACTTGGTTTAATTAGTAGAAAAAGTTTTCTTGTTTACTATTTATAATAAAATATATAGTTTTTTTATACCAAATATATTATTTATTTATAAAAGATTTTTTATTACTTGTTCTTTGTTTTGATTCTGTTCTAATTATTGATTATATATTAATACTGGTACCTATACTATCTACTTAGGGTATCCAGAATTATGTTACTAGTCTAGTTTAATATAATTTAAGTTTGCTAGCATAATTATACTACGTACGTACGTACGTATATAGAAGCAAAATTTATATTTGCTAGTATAAATCTAGTAATTATAAGATATTGGTCATGTAACAATTAATATCATGAAATTTGTTTTGTCGGAGCAAATGATTGGCTGACATGTGCCGCGTTTCAGCCAATCATTTGCTCCGA